AAGAAAAAAAAAAAAAAAAAAAAAAAAAAAAAAAAAAAAAAAAAAAAAAAAAAAAAAAAAAAAAAGACAATTTGGGCATATGTCTGCAGGATGTTCAAAATTGGCACATGGATTTATTTGAAACAAAGATTTTACTAAACAGAATTCCATACAAACATTAGGCCTTTCTGATAAACGTAAATTCGACATGCATGAAAATACTTACATGCCAATTTTCACAAAAAAAACAAAACAAGACTTCTTGTCACATTTCTGTAATTTACACTGAAAATACAGAACCATAGAAAAACTGAGGCCACGGATTCTACATTACACATCTCATTAGTGAGCTAATCGCTAAAGTGCCAAAGAGAATGAGGGTCTGATACCCTACAACACAGTCATATTGAGGCATAAGAATGTAATCGGCTGCTGAAAAGGAGGAATTCATTAGTACAATACAGTGTGCACAGAACTGCAAAAACGTGAAGAACATTTTCTGTTGTGGTTGGTTGGTTTTGTTTGAAGTAAAAATATTCGGTCTGGGCTCAAATTAGCTGCAGAACTTTGGAATTCAATAATGAACAATCAACATGCAAGCGAATGCTTTTCTTTACTCTGACCTTGGCTGGTGTTCTCACATTTACCTTACTAGTTACTTCTAGTCGCCAGGGCACAGATGTTGTTTAAGATCATTCCTTGAGTTTGACTGCAGGAAATTAAGGTACAATTTTTACTGATCTCTTCCAGACCAGCATAAAACAAAATGATCTGCACTGATGACAAAAAAACCTTCTACCGCAGCAATGTCTCACTGCATGGAGCCAAACCTCTGGAAGAAAGAGGATCTTTCTTCTGACGCTTCTGACTGCTCATCAGGCGAGTCTTACATCTCATCCAAACCATAGTCCTCTTCAGGGAAGTCTCCCACAGTTACTGAGAGGGGCTTCACGAAGACGCCATATTTTGGCTCACACTCAAAATAACGTTTCCCATTCACACTAAATCAAGACAAACATAACGCATCAGTTAGACTTTCTCAGAAGGTTCATGTAAGGGTCACATTAGTCATTTTCAGAGACATGCTGGTCTTATTCATAAACATAAATAACTTGAGCATGCACCAACCTGCCATCATTCTTCCCCAGCGGCTCATCATATTTCACACCAACCCAGTAGCCTGGTTTGAAATCTGCTGTACCTGAAAACAAAGAAAGCATTTAAGCCCCATTGAATATGGTTGGAAAACACAGGAATTCATAAATGGAAAAAAAAACATCACATCTCTAAAAAAAAAACAGGGAGCCCCAGGTCAGGATGGCGTGTTACAGTTCACCGAGTTAACTGCCTTCTGAAAAGCATCACTCACAATATAAATCAATATCAAAACTAGATGAAAATGTATTATATTCTTTTCTTTTCTTTATTACAAGTACATGTAACATTTAAGTGTTAAAGGGGTCATATGATGTTGCTAAAAGGAACATTACTTTTTGTATTTGGTGTAATTAAATGTGTTTATGCGGTTTAAGGTTCAAAAAACACTATTTTCCACATACTGTACATTATTGTTTCTCCTCTATGCCCCGCCTTTCTGAAACGCGTTGATTTTTACAAAGCTCATCGGTCTGAAAAGTGAGGTGTGCTCTGATTGGCCAGCTATCCAGTGCGTTGTGATTGG